ACATTTGCCACTGGCTCTGATGTCTCTGCAGTGGTATACATAAGATTCGTTTTGGGTAAATCTAACAGGTAATCTTTGGTCTTTATTCTATTAATCTATTAATATGTTAAAATTAAAATTAAAATTAAAAGAGGCAGTACTGTTTGATATAATATTTTGTTTCATTGTAATGTATGTACATTCCCTGAACTACATTTCTGCGGCTATTAATATGTTTAAATGAAATCGAAAACAGGCAGTGGTGTTTGATATCATATTTCATCTTATTGTAAATACAGAGAGGAAAATTGCAGTAGCCAAGGCGATCAGGGTCTGCTGTTTGCAGAATTACCGGACTTGCGTTGTCCCATCCACGGGAGTTCACACTCCCGAGTCGAACTCACGAAGTCCGAACAACCGAGGACGCAAGTCAGAAATTTGCGTCCTTGGTATTGAGAAACGCGTGCAGACCTACGTCACCTGACTATTTGCCTAATCTTCTCGGTACTTTAGACCGCGATGGAAACGCAGACAGCAACAGGTCTGGGGGAAAAAAAGTTCCTGGGGCTAATTGTTCCAGGTAATTTCGCTGGAAAAGCGGCTTAAGTCAGGAGATGTTTTTATAAATCTTTGGTCTTTATTCTATTAATCTATTAATATGTTAAAATGAAAATAAAAAGAGGCAATACTGTTAAAATATTTTGTTTCATTGTAATGTAGGCTATATACATTTCCCTGAACTACATTTCTGCGGCTATTAATATGTTTAAATGAAATCGAAAACAGGCAGTGGTGTTTGATATCATATTTCATCTTATTGTAAATACAGAGAGGAAAATTGCAGTAGCCAAGGCGATCAGGGTCTGCTGTTTGCAGAATTACCGGACTTGCGTTGTCCCATCCACGGGAGTTCACACTCCCGAGTCGAACTCACGAAGTCCGAACAACCGAGGACGCAAGTCAGAAATTTGCGTCCTTGGTATTGAGAAACGCGTGCAGACCTACGTCACCTGACTATTTGCCTAATCTTCTCGGTACTTTAGACCGCGATGGAAACGCAGACAGCAACAGGTCTGGGGGAAAAAAAGTTCCTGGGGCTAATTGTTCCAGGTAATTTCGCTGGAAAAGCGGCTTAAGTCAGGAGATGTTTTTATATCAAGCTACCAGCTAACATCAATATTTAAGATACTTAAAACAATTTTCAGTTCAAAACTCATTTTCAGACATCCAATTGTGATCTGATGTGGATTCTGATCATCTGATCACTGAAATGTATTATTTATAGAATTATATACAATAGTAAAGGCTACTTATGCTATCCTTTGCTATAATAAATTAATGTTTATGAAAATACCAGAGACCACTTGAAGAACTTAAATCATTATGTTATCATAATCATGTATTTATTTGGTTTCACCTTCACTTTGTGTCTTCCCTGTACTTTTGTTGATACAGGACTCATCTGCATATGTCATAATTTGTATATAGTCCGGTAGATGTTGTCTACTCAAGTCTTCAATCTCACCATAGAAAGACGCTCCTCTAGTAGACAACACCTTCTTCGTTCCCTTATAGTATTCCACTGAACATCAGAAAGCAATGGCAGGTAAGGAATGCTGAGCAGTGTTTTAATGTCTGCTGTATCAGCTCAGAAATTCTGAGATTCACATTGTAGGATATCAGTGTGAATCAGACAGTTATAATGTGATCAGAACTTTGCTAAAACTGACCAAGCAGCAAGAATTCCAGAGTATGCCCCCAAGATAAAATGGATGACCATAAATCTGCCCAGGAGCCAAGTGCCAACAAGTCTGGAGCAACCTAACCAACCAACATTTTACAGCTTAAACAAAGAATACTAAGGAAGAAGATTCCCGCTGCCAGTGTGAATGCAACAAGGAAAACAGCCCAAGGGGGAAATTGCTTCTCTAGGAACCACCCTGCTGGCTAGTTCCTAGAACTGAGTTCTTAGAACTACGCGGTGCGAAAGCCCTTATAGCAACACCCCGAGCTAAGACCAGAGATGGCAAAAGTACACATATCCTTCACTCAAGTAGAAGTACAGATACTCATGTTTAAAAATACTCTGGTAATAGTTGAAGTACTGACTACACTTTTTTACTCAAGTTAAAGTATAGAAGTATGGGCTCCGACATGTACAAGTAGAAAATAGCCATTACTACTACCTGTTTTAGTGTCACACTGGTAACGGGACCTCACGTCATATAAATATCGTAATAAAAAAGAACTTACATTTCAAATTTTGTTAGCTAATGAATGTATCCAGGCTGAACAACCGACATGTAGAACAGGGCCGAACAGAGTTGATATGTTTTAGATTAGTCCAATAAAGTCTTGTTCATATTGAAAAGAGAAGTGTGTTTTGTGTTTTGTGTTTTGTGCTTACAAGTTAATGTCTTAAACTGCCGATCTTGTTACCGTGCCAATAAATCGTGTTTTTCACTGTACTTTTGATTTTAAAATCAGTTGCTGATAGTTACGGCCGTTCAATTAATCACTGGCCTATTCAGTTGATCAGCCGTAAAAGTGATTCTGTTAAATTCCCTATAAATATCATAATTAATTCCCTTTGAGCTAAATTTACCTGTTTCCTTTACAATATGCTCCTTGCAAAATGTGCGATAGAGCCAGTTCCTTTCAAAAATTGTCAGAGCAGCTTCTACAGCCGATATTTCCGAGCAGAATGTGCATTTTTGAACACCTCAGCTGTTTAGAGCTCACAGTCAATATGCAGAGGGGCATTCTTAAGGCCACTAAGAGTATCTCATTTTTAAGGAATAGAGCTAAACTCAGTCTCAATGCGAGCTCACCTCTCACTTGAGTGCCTTCAGACTTCCTTCGCTTTGTTCAAGTCAGGGAAGTTTCAGAGAACATTTGGGTTGTTGGCAGCAGCCTCGACAGTATGCTGTCTTGGTCTGCTTCATATGCGGACACTTCAGGTTTTGGTTAAAAGCCTGCATCCGCTTGTGGAAAGTTGGAGATAGGAGATATGCAAGTATTGCTCTGAGTTTATTTATAAAGTTTATTAAAAAATTTTGGTAACACTTTATTTTAAGGAGTCCTTGTTACACGTTACATGTACTTAATATTATAATAACAATTAATTATGAATAATTACATGCAAGTAACCCTAAGCCAAACCCAAATCCTAACCCTAACCATATAGTAAGTACATGTAGTAAATTAATATTACTCAGTTATCATATGTATAATTACACTGTAACAAGGACACCTTAAAAAAAAAGGTTTTATAAAGTTTTTTTTTTTTTTTTTCCTGAAGAAGCAAACTGAAAGGCCTCACACACTCATCCTCTTTGTCCTGTGCACACTTTGCGCATCTACACAAAGATTTCAAGCCAATTTAGGCTATCCAATCAGCTCTTTTACAGTTGTTAAGCCACTGACATTCATTCTTAAAACTACCTAGCCTGGTTGATGGCTTCACTTACAGATGAGCTGGACATTGCTAATAACACAACGTGATCCCCATTACATCAGCTACCGACACAATGTTGAGTGAGCTGAAATCGAAAGGAAACATCTCCGGTTACTCAACACAAGCTTGGTTACACTGTATAACCAGAGATGTTTTCTGTCCGTAAGCTCTATTTCTCTGGCTGAAAGGATAACAGTACAGTGAGACGGGAGAGAGCTCAAACCTGCTAAAGACCTTGTCTCCTAGACGGCCACCGGGACAAGACCACAGTTGAGTCCTCTGCACAATGTGACATTGCTGCAGATATTTTATTCTGTGACAAACAACAATTAAGGCTTTCTGTATTTCACTTGGTATGTTAATGTTTTTTAAAGTGTTATATAATATAGAATATATGTATAGAAACCAATGAGGGTCAATGGGGGAGTCTATATGACCGTAACAAAATTTGCACAGCCTTTCCAAAACACATCTATGTGTCAAAACTTTGCAGACACAATCATTACCCAAAATGAGAAATATCCACCAAATTTCAAGAAGAAATAAATAATAAATCAACACACTATTTTCCTATTTAATACTGTAATACTGTCACTTAATATCCAGCGATATTGTCGACTTGATTGCACAGATACTACTTAAACTGAACTGAGCTGGATGATGACATCACTGAATTCAATTTGAAATTTCAACATTCAACTGAAAATTGAGTGTTTACCATTGTAATTTTGCATTAATGGCACACTATTTTCCTAATTAATGCAGTACAGTTGCTTTGACACAATCTGTATTGTTAAAAGCGCTATATAAATAAAGGTGACTTGACTTGACTTGACTCCTCAGATTGCATAATTTCATGGAAAGTTAAAAGAAATGCTCATTCTTTCTAAAGAAAGCCCCAAGTTGTTTGCATTGCTGTGCATTCCTGAGATTACAAAAAAATGGAAGCAGGCATTTTTATTGCTAAATTATTGGTCAAAATTGTCGTTGGGAGCAGTGAATAACCAGAACTCTCTTCTAGCCTCAATACCACGACTGAGGTGAGACCCTTGAGAAAGGCACCAAACCCCCAACTGCTCCCTGGGTGCCGCAGCAATATGGCTGCCCACTGCTCTCTGTGTTCACGGTGTGTGTGTGTGTTCACTACTGTGTGTGTGCACTTGGATGGGTTAAATGCAGAGCACAAATTCCGAGTATGGGTCACCCATACTTGGCCACACGTCACATCACATTCACATTCACATTGATTTAGGCTTTGAGGTCCGAGGCCCCATACAGCTTGTTGTTAGCCTTGGCTTGCACTGGCCTGACAGTGGAAAAGCAGGAAATGATGAAAGAATTTTCAGTTTTAGGTGGACTATCTTTTAAGATTCATCTACTTTTAGATGAGATGTCAAAATATTGTTTGTCTATCCATAAACATTTATGGATTTTAGTTTGCAAACAAACAAACAAACATTTCATGCAACATTAGTTTACAATTTTTATGACATTAGTTTTAAAATGAACATAGCCCTACTGCATCTAGCTGTTTGAAAAACTGGAAGATGCATTAAAAGGATATTAATGTCGTCATTTGTCTCCATCACACCATATTTCAAGCAGGCTTCAATAAAGAGTGCAGCACGGTCGAAATATCTCATGCTGTCAAGAAATGTAAAAATATATCAGAGACATATCTGAGCATCATGCCCTTTAACATGCACATTCAAATGTCAAACTGGTGGATGCTGCACTTTTTAACAGGATGCCTAGGATGTGTAATTTTTCTCCAAGATTATACATAAAACACAGCGCCTTCACAAAGAGTTTAATGGCATTCAGGCATGACACATTGATATTCTCAATTAAAAATGTATTATGCAATTTTAAAATAATTCTTCAACCAAAAATAAAAACGATCATTTAACCTCAGGTCAACCCATATGACTTTCTTTCTTCCATAAAACACACAAAGGAAAAGTTCTCAAGAAATGCCAAGCTGCTCTTTTTCTATAATGAAAGCATACTGTGATCAGGGACTAGAAAAGAAAAAAAGTACTATAAGGTATACAATAAATATCTTCCTAAACTTCTGAAGAAAATACTGTATCTTTGTGTGATGAACAGAACTTAGATTAAGTTCATGAGGAACTTTGTATCATTCACTGACAATCTTTCTCTCTTCTGTAGATCTCAAATCTCCATCTTTTTTTCATAAAAAAAAAAAACTTGGCATATGCTGTCAGGTTTAATGTAAACACACAGACATTCTGCAAAACATTTCCTTTTGTATTCTAAGAAAAAAAAACATGATTTTGAAACAACATGAGGATGAGTAAATGATGACATAATTTTGTTTGTTTTTTTATTTTATTATGTTATTTTACGCTTAATTCCTAAAACAGATTTATTCCTAAAACACATTTTAATGGATGAATGGGCAACATAATACTCTGAATGGGCTAAATGACAAATCAAAAAGAAAAGAAATGCATACCTGTGAAGCATCTCGCCCACTTTGTGAAAGCATCCTAATGAGAGCAGGACCAGGATGGCCTTTGATTTCTGATTTACCTGAGGAGAACACAGATGCTCTGCCCAGCGCTTCAGCACATCTGAACTTTCTGCTGGGTTCAGACGCACCTGAGAAAGAGAGACATTAAGATAAACATTAAGATAGATATTATATAAGATTCCAGAGCATTACAATAGACATTAAGATATATAAGATCCCAGAGCATTAATTTTCCTCACTATTTACACAGATTATTTGCTGCAAATTGATCACATCAAACTGCAGTCTAATTGGCTGGCTGCTTCAATCTAACTGGATGACGTCCACATAAATAGAAAGGTTTTCTATTAGTCCATCAGGAAACAAAAGATGCATTTATAAGATAGCATGAGGATATTATGGGTGCTACCGAGGAATAACTAGTTTATAGGAATAACAAAGCAGGCACGACTGAATAAGTATGTGTGTTCTCTTTTCACATTAAATAATGATAAATACCAGCTTAACTGATGTGCACTACAGACACAAATTAATAAATTACTGTCACTGTAACAATTTTATTGCTAGATCGTTGGGGTCAAATATCGATGATGGAGGCTTAAGTCTGCATGTAAAGTGCAAACGCCCACTTCTTATGTTTGTTTTGTTCCCTTTCAATACTACACTCGTACTGCGTCTGCTAGACCCATATGGGAAAAAAGCCTTTTTCTCCTGAACTGAAGCCTTTTTCATTCACGCAGTGAAACTGCACAGCCAGTGGTTCGTGCAGTGTATTAAAAAACATACAAA